AGGGAAGGAGGGGGGGGGGAGGGCGAGAGAGAGACAGATGGGATCTATCTATAAACTCTTTATCTATGTTTCTATCTATCTATCATCTATCTATCTATCTATACATATGGTCTATCTGTGTCTCCATCTAAGCTCTAGCTATCTATCTATAAACTCTCTATCTATGTATCTATCTATCTATCTATCTATCTATCTATCTATCTATCTATCTATCTATCCATCTATCTATCTATCTATCTATGTCTCCATCTAAGCTCTAGCTATCTATCTATAAGCTCTCTATCTATGTTTCTATCTAAGATCTCGCTATCTCTCTATCTATTTATCTATCTATCTATCTATCTATCTATCTATCTATCTATCTATCATCTCTATTTCACTCTTTCTTGCATATCTATCTATTGCACTCTCTTTCTCTATTCTCTTTCTGATATCTTTATTTTTCTCTATCTCTCTCATCTGTCTGTCTTCTATCTCTCTCTTTCTCTAGTCTGACTGTGTTCTTTCTTTCTTTCTTTCTTTCTTTCTTTCTTTCTTTCTTTCTTTCTTTCTTTCTTTCTTTCTTCCTTTCTCCCTATCTCTCTCCTTTCTTCCTTTCTTTCCCTTCCTTTTCTTTTTTTCCGTCCTTTCCTTTCTCTCTCACTAGAATACCTAACCTGATAGCAATCAATATTTGGTTTTGTATCTGACCAATGTGTTCTGTATTCTTTCTCTATATTTTGCTGTCTTTGTCTTAGATATGTGAGGAGTGAATAATCTCGCCTTCTGACATGTGGGTGGGATATCTTCTCTCTCTCTCCCCTGTACACGCCCTGTCAGCAATGAAGCTAGTATTACCAGCATTGATCTGGCGGCACTAGGACCGGGGGCTGCTGAGCCTATCTCCTTTGTCCTCCAGCTGATCCAGCGCCGGCTCTGCTCCAGCTGCTGCTCCTCTGTATGTATATCTACATGTATGTATGTATGTATGTATGTATGTATGTATGTATGTCTGCGATCACCAATATCTATATGTATGTATGACCGCGATCACCAATATCTATATGTATGTATGACTGTGATCACTGTTATCTATATGTATATATGACTGCGATCACCAATATCATGTATGACTGCAATCACTGTTATCTATATGTATGCATGACCACGATCACCAATATCTATATGTATGTATGACCGCGATCACTGTTATCTATATGTATATATGACTGCGATCACCAGTATCTATATGTATGTATGACCGCGATCACCAATATCTATATGTATGTATGACTGTGATCACTGTTATCTATATGTATGTATGACTGCGATCACCAGTATCTATATGTATGTACAGTATGTATGACTGCGATCACCAGTATCTATATGCATGTATGTATGACTGCGATCACTGTTATCTATATGTATGTATGACTGCGATCACTAATATCTGTGTATGTATGTCTGTGTACAAAGGAGTGGATAGATTTGTTGGGATGTATCACGGGGGGTTTTGTCTATATGGATCTTACGTAGCTTTTCCATCTCTTTCTCTCTGTGATTTTGTACATTTTGTATCTTTAGACTGTATCTTTCCTATTTATAGAAAACTGCAGTGTATAGTTGTCTTTTATTTACATATCTCTATGTCTGACCACAGCTGTTTTTTTTGAGTGAAACATGTGTAGAGTTCACTTATTTACAAAGCATGCATGTTCCAAATCATCACGCCAAACAGATTCACAGAATCTACATATTACTCTATGTAGAATGTATCTATCTATCTATCTATCTATCTATCTATCTATCTATCTATCTATCTATCTATCTACATGTAACTATAATATATATCTGTATAACTTTGTTGCTAACGTGTGTCTTTAATACAGTATACCTATGTATTACCTTTATTTCATGTGTTATTTACATTTATTGTCTGCCTTGGCCAGTAACAACCTTTAGCATGTGGACACATGATTGTTCTACATCATAGACCTATAGAGCTGTGACATATGTTAGCCCAGACCGGTGTGGACAATTGTGTGAATTGTTGTTGTTCTAAGGCCCCGCTCATACGATCTGGCATTCCCGTGCCAAGAACCTATAGATTTCTGCAGCGGGAATGTCAGTTGTCCCCATTCAGATGTAGCTGCTGTGCCCATTGAAGTAAATGACAGGGTGTCAGCTGCCGTATCTGCCGCATGTAATCATACATGGTAGAATTATATGCAGTTTGGGATAGATGATCTATCCTGCGTCCAGCGACAATCATCTATTCCAAAACCGCATGTAATTTGTACCATGTGCGATAACATGCGTACTGCCGCTGACAGATACAGCCGCTGTCACCCTTTCATTTACTTCAGTGGGTACAGCTGCAGCAGGAATCCTAGAATGCCCTGTGTGAATGGGGCCTTAGGCTCTCTTCACACCTGTGCAATGAAAAATCGCACATGCATTGCAGAGTGTTTTTACACATCTAACCATGTGTTGCAGTAGGACGGTAAGTTGCCTACTGCATCTAAATCTCAGCAAACAATTGCATGTCCTGTTTTTATTCGCTTCTCTCAGCAACAAATGGTAATAAGTTACCTTACTTTGTGGTATAAGTCAACGCATTAAGCAATAATGGCACCACAGCACACCAAACATAGTCATATGGGATCTCACGCAATGCGGAAATGCATGCCAGAATAATTATGAACAAATTGGAGACTCAGTCCCTTTATAAAGAGGGTTTTCAACATCTCCAAAGAGATTGCAACATTTTTGAACATCTCCACATACAACATAGAAGACTTCCAACAATCAGAACCCTTGTAATCAACCCACCCGGTTCTGGTTCAAGCTTCACAGTGGGCCGCCTAAACACACTGTGCATGACAACTCAGTCACACAAAGGACTTATAATCTACAGTTATATATATATACATACACAGAACACACTCTTTAGTAGTGTCTATTCTACAGTAAAGAAGGTATTGGCCATTAAAGCTGAACTCCAAGATTAGCAAATATTGTCCTCATACAAGTCATGGGTATTCTTCTTGAATCTTGGTGAGCATTTTGTATTTCTACCAGATCTGTGCAGTAATCCCGTGTCAGATCTGGAGCTTCCTGTAATAAAGACTGCTCGCTGCTGCTCTCTCTACTTGTGCAGGGTGACTGGTCTTGTCTCCGACCCCTCCTGTAATAATAATTGTTCACTGCTGCGCTCTCTCCTTGTGCAGGGTGACTGGTCTTGTCTCCGCCCCCTACTGTAGTTTTCTGCAGGCAGCCTGTAGTGGGTGAAGCCATTGGATCCCTCCCACAGCTTTGCTCTCTGCATGGGCTATGTACAACACAAGCATGAAGTTACTGCTACTTTAATAAGGTGATACCTGGTTTTGCAAAGGGATTTAGTGCGCACACATTGGATTTATATCCATTGTAGGTATGGAGGAATATTTTTAAATGAAAGAGTTCAGCTTTTAGCACAGTAGGCCTGTGTCTATAGGAATAAGAGAAGTGGCGTTTCCCTGTATTGTTAGCCATGTTATTTTGTTTTTACTATCATCACTAGAAATGCAGTCATCTAAATTGAGCTTATTTACACATTGTCATGATATTCAAAGCCAGGCTGGTACCAGGAAAACAAGACAATGTTCTGTGAATTTAGCAGAGGGGTGTTACATTGGGTGCCGCAGATTGTATGCCTACATGCTCTAGGGAAGGAAATCCAGCCCTGACCCTTGCTAAACAATCATACACATAATAGCATATTCATTTGTGTGGAAGCTAAATGAAAACACTTTGTAGCACGTTTTTTGTGAAGAATCAAACACAAATGCAGAGAGGGTCCCTGGTGAGCAATGAATCGATTTCCTAGCCACAATGCTAACCACTAAGCAGCTACCACTGCCGCCAATAAGCTTATTCTGCACTGCTGTTCCCTAACTTCCTGCATTGATGCTTCTGTGTGTTATTCTGTTGTATCTCCAGATCTCTGTGTCTTGGCCATGATGTGCGGCCCCTGGTTTCTTCTTCTCTTGGTGGCCGTACCAGGAAGCAGTTCAGCTGTCGGTGAAATCCGTAACTGCGCAGATGCTGCTCTGGAGCTGAGGGAGAGAGGTCTGGGAGGCATCCCTGGTGTCAGAACACCAATATCTGGTATGTCTGCAAGGAATATGTACTCTTGTATGTTATCCTGTTTGGTTTATCTGAATGGCAAACACTTTGGTCCCCGTTCACACCTTGGCGTTTTGTTGCTCAAAGGTAAGTACGACAAAATGCTCAAGACAAGGAATCCCATTAATTTCTATGTCTTCTGTTCACACCTGAGTGTTTTGTCGCAAGCAGAAAAATGCCTGTCGCTGGAAAAAGTACATGAGATCCTTTTTGGCAGATTACAGTGCTCTTTGACTTTAGTGGGAAACTTTGTGTGACAAGACGCTCAGCTGTGAACTAGTGCAGTGGCGTCATGCTGGGGGTGGGGCCTGCACCCGGGTGACACCATTGGAGATCATACCTTATCCCACTGGGTGAACGTCCCCTCCTCTCCCTGCCGGCGTCCATCACCAAGATGACTGCCGGCAGGTATCGCAAAGATTGCCGCGCATGCGCGATAACGTCATCGCGCACGCGTGTGGTGACCTCACGTGCATGTGATGTCACGGCGCGGTGTCACCCGGTAAATGCTCTGGGTGACACCCGCCTTTTGAACGCCCCCGAACTAGGGCCACTGAAATGAATGGGATTCTTTGCTTTGAGTGTTTTGTTCCACTCAGGACAAGTGATTCCTTGTCTTGAGCATTTTTTGTCACCCAGATGGTGTTGTATTGAGTTGACTTTTAACTAGTATTGATCTGCACTAGCACAGCTGATTTACAAAGAAAGCGGCAAAGAGGGCTGAACTAAAATTGTAACAGTTACCTATTGCAAACAATCATATTCCACTATAAAGTAATCCATTAGGATGCTATGGCATAAAGCGCTCCTTTTGTGCTGGTTTGTTTTCCACATTTGGTAAGTTACTTTTATTTGCTATTCATATGTGCTCCAGGTTGCTGACTGAATGTGGCTCTTGGCTCGGACTTCTTTCATCTACTACGCGTACATGTGCTTGAGACTACTCAGCTATGTGAGATGTTTGCACTAGTAAAGTGTTTCCTTCATTATAACTAAACTTATCTGTAGATATCTGCTACAATAATGATATGGTATTGACTACTAGTCAATAGGTATGAAATATTGATATACACTACATACTGATATCATGTATCAGGTTTGAGATTTAACTATTGGCTTGGATTGGAGTGTTTTTTTAATTAGAGTGTTCTGAAAAGATATTATGTTAACATTTGGCAATGAGTTAATTTCCAAGGTGTATATCCCTATGGGGGTTTCTTTTTGATTATTTCATAAATTATATTGATCTGGTTGGAAGTCTGATTTTGTTGTCATGTTAATTATATCTTTTGATTCATTCTAGGAGAACACCTACGGATATGCCCGCAGGAGTACACTTGTTGCCCGAGTGAGACAGAGGAGAGACTGAGCGAGGAGAGCGTGAGAGACCTGGCCCGCATTGTGAACGACAGCGTCAGTTATCCAATGGGGGTATTAACTGGGGCGAGAAGAAGATTCCAGGGTGAGTTTGCACTCGGTACTGGTTGTTTTGCTCAGAAGCATTACCAAAAATGTGAAACTACTACTACATTCTTGGTTAAAGTTTCAAGTTTAGGTTGGGATGAGACACAGAGGAAAATGCTGGTTTCTACTGCTGAGTTACTTTTAAAGCCGGCCGGCCATACATGCACCTATAGATTTTCTGCAGGTTTTCTCTGGTCAGATGGAAAAAGTGCCACAGATTCCTCCATCTACACTACACTGTGTGAATGGAGGAATCTACCACTGGGCCAAGCTTCAGTATCTTGCTAGTCGGCCCCGCTGACTCTCAATGCCTGCATCCAATCAAATTGTTCAGGTATTCTGACAGCCAGCGGGGCCGACTGATAATGAAGCTTGGCCCAGCGGGAGATTCCTCCATCCACACAGTGTAGCGTAGATGGAGGAATCTGTTGCAGTTTTTCCATCTGACCATATAAAATCTGCAGATCATCTATAGGTGTATGGCCAGCTTAAGAATGCAAGTTGCCGGATTGTCTCTGGAACAAGCAGACAGGTTAGAGTCAGAGTGAAGTCAAAATTCTTGATCACCATTCTTTTTCAAGGTCCGTGTCTCAGATTTTATTAAGAAATTATAGGAAAACAAGAAATAAATAAGAACGAAACTGGCCAAAGTGACACGTGTGATAATGAGTCTCAGGGGAAAGGACAATCCACCGCCACATTAAAAAATGGGTACACATGAAAAAGAAAACCGGGTCAAAACTAGAAGAAAAAGGGGAATGAAAGAGTAGAATGCTAGTGGCTTATCAAATTGTTAATTTAATTTATAGATAAAAATCTTTACACTGTCATTGTCATTACATCCCTTCTTTTAGACACCACTGGGTCCCTGGCATCTCTATGCAATGCAGGCAGATTTAGGGCTGGTGGGAAGGGCTAGCAGGGTGCTGCCATGTTTTAAGGAAATTATGTACAGCACCCTGCCAGCCCTTCCCACCAGCCATAATCTGCCTGCATTGCATAGAGATGCCAGGGACCCAGTGTGCCTCAGTACTCATCAATCCTAATACTAGCAGTGGGCTGGCTCTTGGGAGGAGTTATGCAAATATCAAAATGCCTTCATGGGTGGATGTGCGTTTGGAGAAATGGGTGGTCCTAGGCAGGCTCCATTTGCATGCAGGTTGCCCTAGGCAACACCCACATGGGATGCTAAGCCTCTATGACTGAAAGAACTAAAATACAAATAATTAAAGGTGTGGGCAGAAACAGCCAGTTTGGGGAGGGAAAGGATTAGATGATGCAGAATGTCCTCCAGCCAGGAAATGAGGCGGGTTCTATCTGATTTGCGGCAGCTTCTAATACACATTGCAAGAAGCTCGCAGTGTGCAGTGAAATCAGAGTAAGCATTTTCAGTCCAGGAGAGGAGCCGGTACAACTGTGCAAGGCTGAAGGGAAGGCCGGAGGTCAGCTTTAAGAATGTAAACGATACACATGTGGTTGTTTAAAAGTTTTATTCGGTAGGGAGAAAGTAGCTCCGGAACCAACTAATCGATAATAATTGTTAGCTGCAGCCCTAGAAGAAAGCAAGTTAGGAACAGAGTGGTGTTCAAACCTTTGGGTGTGACAGTGTTGAGGGTATTAATCCAATAAACCTCACCTTGTAGTAATACATGTGCCCTGTAGACGCCATGGGAGAGCTCGGGAATGAGGTCAGTGACCATGCCACATAGATCACGTTTGGTGGTGGCATGGCCAAACCTATTGACCATGGAGGACGAGTTGTGACTTAAATACTTGGTGCATTATCACCTGTCATGTGCATCTCTAGAGGAGATTACAAGTGGCCGGACCTGAGCTACGACGGACTTACAGCCAACACTGGAGCAAATGCATGATGTGGCAGAATGAGTCTGGAAGAAGAGAAAGGTGGAAAAAAAAGATTTAATGGTAAAAAAACAAATCATGGCAATTGTTAACAATGCAGATAGTTAGCGAATTCAACGTAATGTACAGTAGTTTGGGTTTAGATCTTGTCATATGGTGGCACTTCAGATGGTGAGATCAGCTATAATACTCTCCATATTTCCTCATTACAGGTTTCCTTTAAGGCCTCATTCACACAGCTAAGTGTCAGCCTGTACAGATCTGTGCGGCATGCACGGCCGTATCGGGCTGTTCCCGGGAAGGACAGGTGCTACGTGTGATTGTACACAGCAGCCTGTTCTTCTCTATGGGAGTACGTAGCCATACGCTCACCCAAGATGCACATCCATGCAGGTGTGGGTGTCCGTACTCGTACGCAGACAGGATGGATCCAGTCTATGTCCGAGCACAGACACCCGCACGGATGTGCAGCTTGGGTGAGCGTACGGCCGCATCCTCCCATAGAGAAGCCAGGCTGCTGTGTACAATTACACGTAGCACCTGTCCTTCCCGGGAACGGCCCGATACGGCCGCGCACACCGCACAGATCTGTACGGGTCGACACTTAGCTGTGTGAATAAGGCCTAAGGCTGAACTCCGGCCCTCCCTTCAGTCTTGCACAGTTGTACCGGCTCCTCTCCTGGATTAAAATGGCTTCCTCTGATTTCATTTTATTAGCATGTTGATGATGGGAGAAGGAATGAATCAGGGAAGGCAAAATATAAAGAGATTAAACATCAGCTTTAATAAGAATGAATGGTACTTCAATTTCCAGAACAGGCGTGGTCAGAATACAGGACGGCATTTATTTTTCTCTGTCTCAGTACAGAGTTTAATTTGTGAATCTAATTGTGAACATTTAATGACTCTACATCTCTGGAAATCATAGCTTCCAATTCTCCCGCTGTTGGAGCCAAGTCTCTCTGTCTCTTTTCTTCCTCGGTTCTTCTCCTGTTTGATCTGTATTGGAGTCCATTTATGAATGATTCACTGTGAATCCTTTTACTGCTGTTCACCCAAGTGATATTCAACAGCATTTGCCGAGCATGCCACAGCTATATTCATTGGGTGGAATTGATCAAAACTGATCGAAGCGCTGAAAAACGCTCAAGCAGTGAAATCCTATTAACTCCTATGGGCATAGTTCCCACCTGGGCGTATTTCAGCGCGTTTTAACGCGCTGAAAAACGCCCTACAACTGAAATAGTACATGAGCTTCTTTGAGGCGGATTTCAGCGCCTATCCATTGGTATTCCCGAGTGTATATCCACACTCGGGAATACAGCGTATGCCTTACCTTGTCCGCGATCCCCGCTGTGTCCTCCGGCCGCTGCCGTCTTCCGGGTTCCGTCCCTTGCGAGCGTCCGCGTCGCAGGGGGGCGGAACCGGCGAGAAGTTTAAAAGTTAAAAAAAAAAATTGAGAAAAAAAGGGGGAAAAAAATCATACCGCCAGGGAGGTTAAAAAACGAGTGTCGAACGCACGTTTCAGTGAACAAAAAAACCGTGCTTAAAAAACGAGCATAAAATGCGCCTAATAGGAACGCCCAGGTGTGAACCCAGCCTAAAGCTCAATTGAACTGTCAGTTTAAACCATTACTGGTGCATCAAACAAAGGTGCGCAAAGTCTTAAGGTAGCCATAAACAACATGAATCTCAGCCAATTTCTCCTGAATTGGCTGAAATTCAAGCTGCCTGCGTTTTATGAATGGGCTGCAAAACGCAGGCTATGGTGTGGAATAACTTTGCAATATTTAAGGATACATACATATAACAATATCTGCTCTCAGATCTATGTGGGCCCCTATAATCAGCGTGAGATATTTGGATATGACATTACATATTTGTGATCTTCACATTAAATACACGTGTTCTGCTTATGTTCTTGCAGAGTTTTTCCTCGCACTCCTTGACTCCTCTGAGCACTCCCTCTCCACCATGTTTGTACTTTCCTATGGACACCTGTACTCCCAGAATGCCGTTCTCTTCAGTACTCTCTTCTCAGAGCTGCGTGCTTTCTACATGGGCGGAGGAGCCCCCAGATTGGCCGAGGCTCTCTCTGAGTTCTGGGCCGGACTGTTGGAGCGCATGCTCCGTCTCCTGCTTCCTCATTACGAGCTGAATGCCGACTACATGGAGTGTGCTGCCCACAGAGCTGAGGAGCTGAGGCCTTTTGGCGATATACCAAAAAGACTTCGACTACAGGTCTGGTAGATTTCTAACTGTATATAAGTTCCATTACAGAATTTCATAATACTGATGCGGGCTTATTAGATGTATTAATAGTTGTAGATAGAAGTCAGAAGGACCCCTGGTGCTCGGGTTAGCACTGCGGCTTAATTCGGCAGATACAATGGTCAAAACAGTGTGTTGCACTGCTAATCTGGGCTTTGTGTACATGCCACACTCTGTTCACCCTAGAAGAAAATGGAGGACATCCTACAAAAGGATGAAATAATTTATATTATAATATATATTAAATATACTTTAATTTTATACTTTATATATTATTATATATAATTAAAAATACTTTTTTTTTTTTTTTT